GTTAGTCACATAGGTGATTCCATCCAGTCAGGGATCAACTCCACAATCAGGATGAAGTCACACAATTATGGAGCCAAATCAGATTTTAGCCACCTTGGTGGTCCTTATGAGCACCGAAAGGCAAGGTATACATTTTGTAAAATAAATACATACATTTTACACCATTATGTAAATGAGGGCAAGTGGTGGCAATTTAAATGAATATGTGAACATTTTCCAAAGAAGTCCTGAAATGCTTCTAAAAAGCAATGGTGTTTTATTAACCTTCCAGCCACAGCCTCTCTCCCCTTCCCCGGCAGTCTTCCTAATTAGGGGAGGTTAAGGAGACTAAAATTTTGAAAAATTGACAGATATGATCTACTTTCAAGAAGGGAAGAAAAAAAATATTAGGATACATATTAGGATACATGAAGCCACTGATAATTTCTTACACTACTGTAATGAAAAGAGGGCGAATAAAATATCTTCTTAGCTTGAATTAACACAGGATATGGGTAGTACATTGTGTGTGGCAATATTTTTAATTAGTGTGTATTTGTGTTTTGTGTGTGCTAATGGGATTTTAAAAGGGTTGTAAGAATAATATTGTTGAATTATTGTTGCTGCTGTTGTTGTTGTGATTAGTAATTTACATTTTGACTTTGGATTCTTGTGCATAACTTAAAAGATTTTTAAAGAGGGTTGGATCCAGGGCCATAGCTAGCCAGGGGCTATTTCGGCAATGCCCCCTCTTGATTTTGCCCTGCCCCTCCCCTCCCTGCCCCCTTCTCTCCCAGTCCCCTCTCCCCTCCCCTGGTCCCATGGAGTTCCCAGCAATGACCAGTAGCATGACAGTCCAGGAAGGATAAAGCTGCAATGCACTGCAGGGACCCAGTCCCCAGATGCCTTCCTGCAGGGGCAGCATGTACAAATCCTGCCCCACGGAATGAGCCCCAACAGCCGCCCAGCTAGGTCAAGTGAGGAGGGCAGGAAATGAGTGAAAGCAGCTGGGCAAAGCCCTCAGAGCAAGAGACTGTGGGAGGGCCAGGGAGGACGAGGAGGAGGAAGAAGCCAAAATGCAGGAGGGGAGGGCAATTGCAGTGGATCCTGCTTGGGGCTGTATACGTTGTTGCGAGCTAAGGTCCCATGCAAGACTCTTGCTCTTGGGGGATGGGAGGCTTCCCCTGCTGGATCGTGAGCAGAGCAACTCAGAAGTAAGTCCCCATGAGTAGGAAAAGGATTGACATAGGTGCTTGGGAAAAGGAGTGTGTCAAGTTGTTACTGGTGCTTGGGTCTCTCTGGACAGAGCTCTTATCTGATACCAGACTTTAAATATGATGCTGGCAAGGCAAAAGAGCTCACCTGTACAACTTTCTGCTTGCAGCCACAGCATCTCCTTTAAACTGACTGTTACCAATGCCAAACATCTCCCTGTGCTTAGTACACCAACAACCACCCAACCAATGGCCTCGGTGGCTCTTCCAGCTGTCTTAATGGAACTAACAGAGTTAATTCAATTAATCTGTTAATTACATCAGTTCTGTTAATTAAATTAGTGCCGCCACACACACAGACCCCCAGAAAAATCCCTAGCTACAGGCCTGGTTGGATCCAACAGGTTTTCTGCTGGTACAAGAGGGAAGACCCCCCCCCCCTCAAAAGGGTTATGGTAGGGTCGGGATTATGAAACCACATGGTCAAAAACCTCCGTGGGACAAGATTGTACTGAAAAAGAGAATGGAACAAAATCATGAAAAAGCTGGTATCCAAACCGATATCAGCATATTCATATTCATTGTATGTAAGCCTGTTTGATTTATGTATGGTACTAGGAATAAGGCCCGTTGTGGAAATAAGTACAATGAGATCTAGAAAGAGGCTCTGGGAGAGTGCTCTGGCTTTGGGCAAACAGTGTCAATTTGCTGTGGCGACCTCAGCAGGGTATAATGACAGAGTCCACTGTTTTCTCCAGAGGAACTGATCTCTGCTACCTGAAGAGCAGTTGTAAGTTTGAGTGATCTCTAGCCCTCACCTGGAGATTGGCAACAATTGTTACCCAGGATGAAACGGCTGGTTTGGAGGGTGGAGTCTATGGCATTCTACCTGTCTGAGGTCCCACCCCTCCGCAAACCCCACCCTCCCCAGGCTCCACCCCTCAAATCCCCAGGAATTTGCCAGCCTGGAGTTGGCAACCCCATCTCCTTCCCAGCTAACCATCAACCTACCATTATCTGCCCCTTTGACTTCAGCTGACTTCTGCCCTCCCTTCTGCAGAGCAGTTGTAATACTGAGTGCTCTCCAGCCCTCACCTGGAGATTGGCAACAATGGTTCCCTATGTGGGACTGACTGGTTTGGAGGGTGGAGTCTATGGCAGTGTACCTGTCTGAGGTCCCACCCCTCCTCAAACCTCACCCTCTTCAGGCTCCATCCCTCAAATCTCCAGGAATTTCCCATCTGGAGTTGGCAACCCTATCAGGACTGGCCCCAATGTGTTTTCTCCCAAAGGCCAAAATAGGTGAAAGGACCCAGCTTAGTTGCCTACCAACAGGCACTGAGGGGAAAGTAGGATTGCCAGCTCTAAGGAGGGAAATACCCAGAGATTTGGTGGGTGGAGCCTGAAGAGGACAGAGCCATTGACTCCAACTTCCAGAGCAGCCATTTTCTCCAGGGGAACCAATCTCTCACCTGAAGTTCAGCTGTAATAGCAGGAGATCTCCAGCCACCACCTGGAGGTTGGCAACCCTAGGCTATGTCAGCAGCACAGGCCTTGTAGGCTGCCAACATTTTCTGGCAGGGCTCCTAACCCTTCAGAAGTACCCAGTGAGGAAAACTTTAACAGGTGACACTTTTCTGGCATAGAGATGAAATGAAGAGGAAAGTTCTACCTGCTTAAATTTCATTCTGTTGGACAGCTTTTAAAGGTGCCCCTAACAGAAAAAAACAACACAGCATGTCTATAAATCTTATCAGCTGGGAAATTCCTCTCACTCCCTTTCTCAGTATGAACTGGAGTTGCTTTTCCCGTCTCTGCTTCTGTGCTTTTAACAGCATGACGTTCAAATATTCAAAGTGACAGGCTTCATGTACTATTTCTTGTATATCAAGCTGCACAGGAACAAGGTGTAATAGCCCCTGAGGCGTGGTGGGTAGAGGGTGAGCTTACCTATTCCCCCTTCAGTTCTGCTTTGTAGACCACACACAGAAGACTCTGGTAGTTTTAACCATTTCTAGGGTTGCCAGCCTCCAGGTGTGGCCTGTTGATCTTCCAGGATTAGTCTACAACTGATTTCCAGAACACAAAGAGCAGTTCTCTTGGGGAAAATGGCTTTGGAGTGTGGACTGTATGGCATT